CCAGCTGACTGCTTCAATTTATTGTCATTTGATGACAGTGTATTTACAGATATGGTGCAAGGCTTATCTCTTGCATCCACAGGAGAATAAGGGAAACAAATAATTGCACTGTTGAATGTGTCTAAGTCCATATGCCCCGAAAGCACAAGATGCTTTAAAACACATTTGATTTCATATGGGGCAACACCTTCAAGAATGACATGCATGATGTCTTGTGGGGTTTGATTGATTATATCAAAGTGAGGAAATTCTGTTAATTTGCTTCGCCTGTTTATACCATATGTCATTTTTAGATTGTCTTTCAGAAAGTCAGTGTTCACCTTTTCAATGCCATTACATTACCTGTTATGACTTGCCATTGTCCTTTTAAAAAACAAATCTTCACTAAATTGCTTCTGCATGTCTTCAAAGTTGCATTCGCAGTGCCTGCATTTACTGTCGGCAAACCCCACTCCTATCTTAAAACCAGCCACTTCATGCTGAGCTAGAGTGTCTCCGCACACAGAAATGAGTGCCCCATAAATTGTCCTCTCACCATCTGAAGTGACAACCTGGACACCATCACACAGCTCCATGAAGTCACGGTTAATCCTCTCAAATATCTCATCAATACCACAATGGGAAAGATCTTTTGATTTTACCATGGCAAGCAGACGAATGGCAGCAAGTCTTGATCAGTATTTAGGGCTGATGTTACCTAAGGTGTAATAAATCAATAGCAATTTGTTTTTGTTTGTCCGGGATCCAAGAGGAGCTCAATTTCATCTGTATATAAAATTAACTGCATTGCTGTGGGAACTTTCATAAACAGTGGGTGTGACTTAAAAATGTCTCCATCAATGAAATCATGAAAAAATCCATCCTTGCATGGCTGTGGCCTCTCGTCAATCATTCCAATAATTCTTGGATGTGATAACAGCTGCTCCAAACTTTTCACCAACGGTATATAATGAAAACAATGATCCTTAATGGTAAGAACTCTGGAGTCTCCATGTTTCACGTAACATACTGTTTGTTTTGCGACAACAATCTCTGGTTCAGCTGGTTCTAACAGTTCTTTGATGGTCTTATCCTGCAAATGGGTGGAAGCAATTTGACTGACAGGGTCAACAAACTGGTCAAATATCCCCATTGCGTCACTCTTTAGTTGATCCAGGTCCCCAGAATGTCTCTCAATCATGTTGGTCATTTGCTGTTTTAGGTGCTCCAATAATGCGGCCTGATACTGCTGGACTCCACTCACCATTTGGTTAACAGCTCTCTGGGGAGAAAAAAAAAATTAAAAAAAAAAAAACAAACTACATTATAAAATTCATATAAAAATGCAGTCAACACGCAAACTCACAGAAACACTTTACCCTTCAGTTACATAGTTAGTGATATTTATTGATAGTTAGTATATTTATTTATTTCATTTTTATTTTGTACCAACACAGAATATAATGTTTTTTTTCGTATTTTTCACTTTCTTTTTTCCAACACAGAACATTAATTTCAACTTTAGAATTACAACAATATTTAGCAAGTAGAACAAGACGTGCTTTCCGGCCACCAGATGGCGCTATTTTCACCGTCTTAATTGCTGCTGAGGCTGTCAGACCATAGATTTATTTATTATTTTATCAACTTTGCTTCAACCGATCACCACCAAAACTTTATCATCTGTTCCTTGTCCCATTATCCACCTTTACTGGAAATTTCATCAAAATCCGTTCAAAACTTTTTGAGTTATTTTGCAGACAAACAAAAAGACCAACGGCAGCGAAAACATAACCTCCTTGGCGGAGGTAATGAAATAATACTGCCTTCTGCAGCTTTAAGACCTTGTCTACAGTTGTCACAAGTGGACAGTGCTAAATAAAAGTGTAAGTGTTGTATGTATTATGTTGTCAATATTCTTAGCTCATGCTCAGTAAATATAGTGGATGGGCAGATTTTGTAAGCAAACTATGTGTCCATTTGCATATATAGCAGGGAAGTGAGAGCTGATCACAAGTGGTCACTGAAGAAGCATGTGGAGACACATTCTAATGTCACGTGTTTCTCTGACATGCCTTAAGCTGTCCACCTGTGATCGGATCAGCCAAGATGCCAGGTCTGAACAGTGCCTAAGTCATTCTACAGTTTAAGCTTATTGCTTTCAAGCTTGCTACTAAAAATGAAATACAATTAATTGGAAAATAAATTACCTGTGTCAGTCGATGGGTTTCTCTGGCTTGAAGAAGAAAGGCAGTTGCATGTTTAGGTAGGTCAACATTCATGCGACCTTCTCCATCTTCTTGAAATTCACTCTGAAACAGGTTAACCACAAACATATCTATTAAAACAGGAAAAATATTGGCATTGGTGGGTAGCACCACCAGACAATCTGACAGTAACTACCCAGGTAATCTAGCTAGCTAGATTTCTTCCTATAAAAAGGTATAAGATGGGTATATTTTTACTGATTGATGTCTTTATTTTGAGTATGTAAAATAACAAAAACAACAAATAATAAAAACAAAACTGTAAAAAAAAAAAACAATGACTTTGACAGTATCAGAAAAAATCTGTACTTCATGAGTGTTAAGATTGACACACATACTAAATAGTAACCCTTCACTTGCTCTCTTGCCAATAAATTAACATTACTATAGGCCTTTGAACTGAACTTGTATTCCAATAAGCTAATAAAGGAGGAAACTGGTTTGATTACTCGTTAGTAGTGGAATTACAGTAACGCATTACTTTCAACACTGCTATTACTTTCGCTTGAAATTACAACCAGAGTCTGTCATTGACAAAAACAAACACGTTTAGTGGACGTGCTCGGATCAGACACAGCCCGTTTTGTGCTTGTGTCACGACTTGTGTACGACTTACTGTTGGGATGGCGATGCTTGAGTCCTCCACTTCAGGCACAGGGCTTGCATTACTTTGATCGTCTGCTCCGGGTAAACTGTGTCGAGTCGGTCCTTCCGCCTCCGCGGCTTCAACTTGGAGAAGATGATGCGCGTGTGTCCGCTTTACGTCATAGTAGAAGGAGTTATACACCCTGTACTCACTCGGACAGCCATCAATTCCACACATCACGCGAAAGTCTGGGCTGCTACTGTACATGGTGTTAATGTGACTCAAAAGTTGTTTCAGAGTCAATGCCACAAATATGTAGCATAAGAAACAACGCCAAATCATGTTGGAAACAGACGGTCACAGGTGGGTAGCCAAGGTGGTGTAGTTCAGACTGCAGTAAAACAACTCGTTGCTATGGTTACACCCGCCACCTAGCTGCCGCAAATGAGAATGTGGGCGTACACTAACGTTATGACATCAACTTGGATTTGAACTTGGTTTGGGACCGACCGACTGGAAACCGTGTTTCATTTCAAGTAAGTTAAAACGCTGTATCCACTGCTCAGTTTGTAGTTCACATCACACACCCTTTGAGTATTATTGATGTTTCAATGTGTTTTCAATGTTTGTGTTTAGTTTCCACCAAACAGAGGCAGCAAGCGCAGCACGAGGCGAGCTAACGTAAGCGGGGCTAACTAGCTAAGTTAGCTAAGTCAGTCAGCTAACAGCATGGAAGAATTGGATGATGTCGCAGTGTCGACTTTAAGAGGTAATGTATGGAAATATTCTTTAACATATTATATGAACATATGAATGCAGAGGTGTGTAAATTGAATTAGTTTACACATAATTGAAGTAGTGTTGCACTGTATACTGGTACCAACGGTAGACCGCGGTATTAAAACACCATGGTACATATGATACCATAATGTTGGAGTACCATAGTACTATGGTACCTCACAGTACCACTACTGTGGGATAAGTTCAAAGTCCAATTGCAAGAGGGTGACTCAATATGCTGCTGCAGTGGTTTGTTTTCCAGTGACATTTCAGGTATTAGCTGAGCTATTGAGTATCTTTAAGCAGTGAAAGTTATTATTTATTTATTTTTACTTGTAGGCTAGATTTGTTTATGCTACAGTGATTTGTTTTCCACAGAGCTCTACTGTGGGAGCATTTTACTGGCATTTGCGACTAAAAATAGTTTTGTGCGAGCAAAGGAAATCATTCAGGAGCACGCTGTGCATACAGATTTCAACCAGCAGCAGAAATAAAAGGCGAATTCAGTCAGTTTCTTAGTGATGTGGCCTAAACTAACCACCTATTTAAGTTGGTAGCAGCACATTGAGTTAACAGCACAGTGTTTTTGGAACAGCCATGGTAGTCTACATGTGTGTTCAGTTAAGTTTAGATTAACTGATAGGTGTTCAGTTATTTGATGAAGCGATTTAACCTCTAAAATGGAACAGATTGCTTATTTATACTTGTGCAGAACTGTCAGTGCTACATTGCAGTTTTTGTTATCACAGAAAACAAAGAAATGTTGCTTTTTGTGGTTGCTCATTATCTTTTATCTTATAGGAATCTGGCCAAGAACACTCAAAATTGTCAGGCAGTTCCTCCTTTAATGAGTCACCCATGCGGCAGACATCCACTCCTGTGAACGCAAGTCCTGCAAAGTACACAACCCCTGAAAAGACTGTGAAGTTATCCTTTCCAGAATATGTATTGCACATCGACACAGAACTTGAGCAAGTCCGACAACAGTACTTTGAGTTGTCGAAGAGAGACGAACAGCACAACTGCCAAATGTCAAAGGAGCTCAAATGCCGGCTCATTCGAAACACCATGACCAGTGTGATTGCAATCCTGAGGGCGAAAGGGGATGGAGAATCACACAGATACCCATCAAAGCCAGAAATCACAGCAATGGCAAAGAGAATAGTACTGTACTACCCCATGCTGCAGGACCAAGGCTTACCTACATGGGTAAGTGAAATATATCCAGTTGATGATTGTTTCATGTTGGACATTTTTAGTAGCGATTTGAAAAAATTGATTAAATGTTTTGTGCAGATCACTGTGTACACACAACTATACAAAATATTGCAAAATGTGAGATCCCCCCAAAAAAGAACCACAGATGGGAGACATTCGAAGAGGTGAGGCTGCAACTTGTAATTATTTTCATCAAAGATTAATCTGTTAATTATTTTCCAGATTAATTGATCAGTTGCTTGGTCAATAAAAAGTCCAAGGTGAAGTCCTCAAAAGTCTTGTTTGGTCCACAACCTAAAGGTATTCATTTCACTGTCAGAGGACTAAATAAGCTAGAAAATATTCACATTTGAGAAGCTGAAATCATATTTGGACATTAAAAAAAAAAGAAAAAGAAAAAAAGAAAAATTACTCAAAATGATAAATCGTGTCAATGTATTGGGTGACTTTGTATGTGTTGTTTCTATGTGTGTGGGGGGTATTGTTTTTTATTGTACAAAGCACTTTGTGTTGCATTTTGTTTGTATAAAAAGTGCTATACAAATATTGTCAGATGGATTGAATGATTTAGTAGTTGACAACTAACTGATTAATTGACTAATCTTTGCAGCTCTACAAAGAGGCGCCATCTTGAGCCGCCAACAGACACAGATGAAATCGATTCAAGCGACTCAACAATCATTCTGGATCGGTCCACAGAAGGAAGTGGCAGCCCAGGCTCGGCCAGTAAAGAAAATGAGTTAGAAGGTGAGTTTCAACTTTGAATTTTCATATTTGCCCTTGTGAGTAATTATATTTTCGATAAACTAATAAATTCACATTATTGGGTCAAGATGACAGTCCTGACATGACAGAAGTAAAAGGCTTTAAAATGGACATCAGAGGATAGGTATTTACACTACATCTGTCCTGTTCAATTATTGTAGAAATGAACTTTTAACAGAAATCTGGCATGAAGCCATCGGTATTAATAAAAAGCTGGTATTTTATCATTTTGAACAGCTGAGTACAGCAGTACTTTTCAGCATCTGTCTACTGGGCAATATTACTTTCTGTAACCTCTCCAGCATATCAAATGTTATGTATTTAAAACACGTGTCTCACTGGGGCATTTTTGCTCTTTTTAATTTAATTAATTTAATTTAATTTTTGGCTTAGGTTAAAATACTGAAATAATCCTTAAAGTACATTATCCTAACAGAAGTATGTCTGTGTTATGTGTTTAAGGAAAAAGAGGACCCCAAAGCCTACTTGAAGAAGCACCCTCTGCCCTGTCCAGTCCTGATAGTGAGTTCGTCCAACTGCCTCATGGCTGTGTGTGTAGTGGGGCTGTGTGCATCTTTGTAGGGGTGTACTTCTGTGCCTACATACAGTTGTATGTGATTGCATGACCATATGAGTTTAGAGCAAGTAGTTCTCATGCATTTAGTATACAGAGAATTATTTGATTTTTGGATGGTTTCTTTTAGAATTATATAAATGGAATTTAAATGGTTAAAATTCCAAAAATAAAGAGGTATTTGGTAGTTAGGGTCAGGGCTGAAATTTGTTAAAAAATTTAACTCCATGAAAGTTTAATCTAATATTAATGTATGATTTTTATGGCAGTTTTTTTACACTTTTTTTGTCATGCAACAAGAGATGAACTTTTTTAAACTGAGGCATATTATGTATTTTTGTGTCTTAAAGCTAACAAGCCTGCAGATGTTGACTGTCCAGACACCTACAGTCCAGCAACCTTGGCCAAGCACTACAAGACCCTACAAACTTTGTATAAAAGAAAAAATCCAAACCACCAGGATGTCTCTCATCTCTTGGATTTGGAATTTGCTACCAGAAGAGCATTCATTGATTCAAATACCGTTCGCAAGGAGGACAGACTCGAGAAGGTTCTAGATACATATCCTTGGACATTGGACATGTAAGTCATTATTGACTGTGCATGATTAAAACCATGGTATCACACACAATGTTTAATATACCAATTTCCTCCTAAGTGATTCATTCAAATGTCTGTATTGGTATATTTGATATTTCACAGGTGATGGTGGAGCTTCAACGCATTTGGGATAAGGATAATACCAACTTCATCGATGAACTGAAAGGAAGATGGCATGACTTTTGCCAGAAGGTGCAGTTTTTTGGTGTATGGAAAAAGGCGCTGAAGCCCCCAGTAAGAATGGTCAAAGGTAAGCAATGATGTTTTGGTGTGATTAGTGATTAGGGTGGACATTAAACACTAAAATAAGGCAGATACATGAAAGTACAAATGACAACGACACAGAAGAGAAACTAAATTTGAATGACGAAATTCCCACCCTGATAATGGTTGTCCCAATATTTGCTGAATGTTTTAAGTATTGTATCTGTTGTATACCTTTTTGATCAGATTTGACCTCGTGCACTTTATCCAAGTGTTTATGTAATGAATCTTTTCTGTACAGCTGAACAGGCTCTTGAGATCCTACGTGTGCTGCCTTCACTGTTCCCCTCTTCATCTGCTCTTCCAAAGAGGGTACGAGATGCGAGTGATGTCCTGGAGGTGAGCTGTTTAAATGTTGCAGGATCATTTAGACTGCATTATTGGAAAAAAATGTAACTCAAGGTGCTGCCTCCGACTACTCCCAATGTATTTCCTGTTCACATACTATATGTTCTAAGATGTCTGTGCCTTTCAATGTCACAGTATGTACAAAATGGATGAATTACTTGGTAGCAGGTTTTATCACCTTAATGAAAATCAAGCAAGACTAATCTAGCCTTGGTTTTTAGGTTTTTTTGGAAGGCTAGACATATGTAAACAGTAAATGTTTTGGTGATAGTTAAATACAGCACTTTTAGATGTAGCTTTCTCAGTACTGTAACTTGTCAGAATTTTGCTTTGTAAAGTTATGTGTTTGTAAAAAACCCTCTACCCACTGGCATAGGTTACAGTTTACCAAAATGTATTATTCTGACAGAAGGATGTCTGTTATGTGTTACAGAAAAAAGAAGACCTGAATGCCTACTTGAAGAAACGCCTTCTCTCCTGTCCAGTCCTGATTGTTAGTCTGTCCAACTGCCTCCTAGCGGTAGGAGATGTGCCAATAACCACCTTTCCAAAAGACCAGCTTACCAAGAGTGCTTTATACCTTATGGCCTACTACTATAGCCTACACCTTACCTATCCCAAGTGTGTAGCCACTCTCCTTTCAGTCATACAGACGGAGGTACTCTTAGACAAAATCCATGAGAGAGATCTCACATCATCTTACAAGAAGAGCATGGCTGAGTGGAAAACTTTTATTGGCCAATAAAACCAGTGGTCAGATATGGTGTAGCACTTCCTCTCTCCCTCCAAGGCTACTACAGTCCATGTTCATTGAGACTGCTTATATTTTGTGTGTGTTTGCACAAAAATCAGTGCAGGTTCTGCCTAGTTTTAAGTTAATTTTAAGTTTTCAGTTAATACTGAATTTCAACAACCATCTGTTCAGCAGAAGCAGTCACTAGTTTCGGCATATCAGTATCAACATATTGGACATTGGCAAAAAAGTCCAGCATTGTGCATCCTTAATGAATATGTTTAATGTAATGTAATGGTTACTGGTGTATTGAGGGACTAGTTGTTCATGTAAGCCCAGAACCTTTAATTTGAATGTTAAAATATTAAGCATTTTGTATTGAGAATGAATGTTACAGATTGAGCAGTCTTAGTGTGCCTAGTAGTGTATCTGGCTATGCTTTGTGTGTGCTTGTGCAAAGCACAGATTTTGCATGTGTACTGAGAGGCACATTGGTCAGATGTCACACATTTGGCATGTTCTGCTATGTTTTCATATTGCAGTTTCATAAATACTGTGAGCCCAAATGTTGGGAAAAAAAGAAACTGTCTCCTCTGCATGGGACTATTTTTTGCTGTCTAAATAAATGTTGCTTAAATGCAAGTCTACTTTTAAGTTTTTCTGTCTTATAAGAAGTAGGTGAATATCTTGAATCTAGAACAGTATTACTGTTGTAGAGCTTACAATAAGGTAAATACACTTGAGATGATGACGGGATGGAGAATTACAGCTTATTATGGCAAAAGAGCACTGCGTAATACTAGTCAGGAATGCTAACTTCAAGACATTTTTTCTCAATTGTAGTTTCTAATCTTATTTCAAGTTGGTGGTGGACTTAAATCTAGAACAGTGTCACAATTAAAGAACTAAAAATGAGTTAAATACACTTAAAACAGAGGATGAAAGATGAAACTTTTGAGGAGAAAAATACTATTTTTGAGCATCACAAGCTTATTACAAGACACAAAACTTCACATTACTAGTACAATATAGCTAAGAATGAGTTTTCTCAGCTAATTTTAAGATCTCTCTTATCTTGTAAGGCTTAAATATAATGTCTTATTTCAAGAAATCTTATCAAGCGAATTTTCACTTGTTCCATTGGCAAATGTTTTTGCTTATTTCAAGCCAAAAAATCTTGTTTGCACTTTTTTTTTTACTTATTTTTGGAGTGGCTTTTTTTCCAGTGTTTGAACAACACCAGGAGCAAAACAGCAGACAAAATACTCACCTGTGCCATTCCATACTCACCTATATCTCATGACATTTCCAGCCTGGTTAAAAAACATTGGCATGTGATAGCCACAGACCCCTCCCTGAAAAGACAGCTGGACAAGCCACCTCGTGTTGTGCTCAAACGACCCCCTAACCTCAGGAACATGCTTGTAAGGGCTGATTGCCCTTCTCCTCCTCCATCTACCTCTGTCCTGAGTCCAATTGAACCTGGTAACTACAAATGTGGCAACTGCCAGCAGTGCAACTTCACCCGCAAAACAAAGACTTTTTACCACCCACACACTGGTAAGGTTCTCAAAGTACAAAAGTAGTTGTAAAAGGTGTCATTTCCTGTAAGACCAGTAATGGTATTTATTTGTTGAAGTGCCCCTGCAGCCTTGTTTACATTGGCAAGACCTCCAGACCTCTGAAGAATAGAATCTCAGAGCACAGAAGTACCATCAGAAATCATGATCAGAAAAGTCCAGTTGCCTGTCATTTTAATTTGATGAACCATCCTGTCGCTTCTCTTACCTACATGGGCATTGAGCATGTTCAACCTCGACAGCGAGAGGGGGACATTAACAATCTGCTTCTGAAACGTGAACTGTTTTGGATATACACTCTGAACACTTTGTCACCCAAAGGCCTTAAAGGATAACTTCAGTATTTTTTAACCTGGGCCCTATTTCCCCCATGTGTATGTGTGCGTATGATTCATAGGTACAACTTATTTTAAAATTCGTTCAGTATTGAGAGAGGCGAATGCAGCCGGCAGCCGCGAGGTAGATATTGAGGCAAATGCGTCCCGTATAAGTTTGCGCATTAAAAGTGCTTTTTTTCGCCACTGACCGGTTCAGATTGCCAGTGCTATCTCTGTAAATAGCATACTAAGCGTTTCGAACATTGTTTAAATAACATTACCTCCACTGTGTCTGTAGCTCTCTCTACTCGTGGGACAGCCGTTTTCTTGAGGAAGAGGTGTTTCGGGATTGGATGTCTTCTCTTCTTCGGCTGACAGTAGTCATCTTGGGAGAAGTGAGCACTGCAGACCTGATGGTCTGCAAGGCGCAGTGTCTGGACAGGAGTGTTAGCATCCATTTGTAGCACAACTAGCCACAACTTAACAATCTCACCGTCCAACAAAGGGAGCCTATGAAAGCTGTACGGGGTGTTGCGTGACATCCTGTTGTTGCAATTCAAGCACAAATACGAACCATTGTTTTCAATCGATGCAGTAAAACTCTCAATTGTACTCTGGGACAACCAGCGCCACTCTGAGCGGCGCTCAGCATGGCTCCTCTGTTTTCTTCCAGCAACAAGCACAGCTCTCGCGAAATGACGTCACAGCCGGGAGGAGGTGAAGGGTCAGGGAAACACTTAGTATGCTATTTACAGAGATAGCACTGGCGATCTGAACTGGTCAGTGGCGAAAAAAAGTACTTTTAATGCGCAAACTTATACGGGAAGCATTTGCCCCCGTTACCGTTGTAGCTCGTTTCGCAGCTGCCGGTTGCATCCACCTACCTCAGTACTGAACCTATTTTAGAACGAGTTGTACCTATGAATCATAGGCACACATACACATGGGGAAATAGGGCCCAGGTTGAAAAATACCTTAGTTATCCTTTAATGAAGAATGTGACATGAGACCCTTTCTCTAAACTGTTCTAACTCTGCTGGTCTACATGTATTTCTGTTTTTGCTGTATACTTACACTAATACTTATACTGCTGTGCCCTTGCTGCTCATTGATGTGCATTTTTTTCCATTTATTGTAAGAGGCGCCTCTTGTAGCATGTTTGATGCTGTATGATGGTCCTACCTGATGTTTTTGTACTCAGACTGCTTCAGGTGTGTTTATATTTTTACAATTGTGTACCATGTTGCATCTTTGTGGTATTTATGTCTCTACACTCACTAGGTGTATGTGTTGGTATATAGTCGAGTGTGTATATCGCTATATTATTGTTGTTTTCTACACTTTGTATAATTACTGTGGAAGTGGCATCAGCTGTTTTTTCGATCATGTGACCACTTACCCATTTAAAGATGGCGTCTCCCATTGTTCTGTATGACCTGATGAAGAAACGTCGTCATTTCACTCAGTGAATAAATTGCACTGAAGAGGAGCCCTGCAGTGTGCGAGCCTTTCTTTACCTGCTCAGCTTTCCACATTTTTGAGCTCAGCACCTGCACAGTTTTGTTTGTGGATGTGTGTGCTTTTTGCTGCTTTGAGGAATAACTTACAGGAAGTAAAGGTATTTTTACAGTCAAGATTTATTCAGATCCAGGTTAGAAAAAAAATCTACTGTATAAAAGTGCAATCAGTAGACAGCAGTTCTTCACTAGGCAGCCACATTCTGGCTGAGGTGCAGTTGCCCGAGCTGATCAAGGTCACTTGAGACAATTATTGTATTTCCAGCTGACGTGCTGCAAAGATACCAGGGGCCTCATTTATAACCATGACATATGCACAGATGATGACGTACACCACTTTCTATGCAAACATTGGGATTTATTAAAATCAAACTTGACAGAAAATGAGCGGTCTTCCATGGCAGCTCTGACCCATGCATATGCACAAAAATTGTATACTTGAGAAACTGCTACCCCCGAGGCAGAAAGATGAAAAGGAAGAAATGTGAATTTGATATCATTGTGTAAAATAAAGACAGATATAACCTGTCATGTTTTATATATGAAGAGTGTAATTGCAAAAACGGATAAACATAAGTAAACAAACATGTCTTTGACTGATGTGCACACATGAAGAACATGAGTTAGGAAACTAAAGACAAGCAGATATCTTTAGTTTAAAAGAACTTCTCGGGTCATTAAAAAGACAGATGAACTTAAATCTGTGAAATAATGATGTGAAAAGTTCAAGTGTAAATCAAGTGTACGCTACTGCCATTTTCAATGCCTTAGTCGGACAGATACAAGTGCAGAGTGTTACTGTTATGAGCAGATATATTTGCTTTATAATGTGTTTGTTTTATGTCTCTTAATTATTGTTATCGCTGTGAGTTAAATGTGTTGTATGCCATTGTAAAGCACCGTGTCACTGTTAGAAAAAGTGCAATAAATCAGTTGATAGGTAGGTATAAAAAGCAGCAATCACAGTGCGTAAAGACGCATGATGGCCTACTTGGCACTGTTAGAGGATGTGGTGGATGGGAGACTCTGGAGGGAGCGGATCTTTAGGGGCCAGCAAGACCTACTGGCCAATGATGATGAGTGGCTTATGAGCCGGTTCCGACTAATATGTGCATTGGTGCTGGATCTCTGAGCTGCACTGGGCCAAAGGCCTCTAGTTTCGCAGACCGGGCGAGGCAGAGGCGCAGTGCACCTGCGCTTTGCCAACTGGGTGTGGCCAGGCGGATTTTGCAAGTTTGGAACACCGTGCGCGCTAGCGCAGCTACTCCTCTTTCCCACCTCCGTCCCTCCTACCTGCGCAAGTCGGAAAGAGGGAAGAGAGAAGGCGTGGAGTGGGTTTTACACACATCACACCAATCAAATGAGCCCCTCTCCTCGCCCTTAAATGCGCCGCGTGAAGGCGTAATGAGAGTTTACACAATTCACCATGGCAGAAGAGAGCAGCAGCGTCAAGCCCTTTTCACACAGAGTGCGCAAAGCGCAGACCTCCGCCGATGAACCCATTTATTGTGTATGTGCTAGCGCGGCGGAAGAGTGCACCGCTCTGCCGCCGAGCTGAGCGGCGCGCGAGAGGGCGCATGTCGCGGCATCTGCGCGCTGCCAGCCTGCGCGCTGCCAGCCTGCATGCTGCCAGCCTGCGTGCTGCCAGCCTGCACGCTGCCAGCCTGCACGCTGCCAGCCTGCATGCTGCCAGCCTGCGCTCGAATTAAAAATGTTTTAATTTCACCGCAACGCGTTGTGATGACACCTTGGCGCGTCCAATAGCAGAGAAGAGCCTGAAGTAGACCTGGAAGCGGTCACCATGGAGCTGTAGCTCCTGAACGAGCCTGTACTCCCCCAAATCCTGTCTTGGGCGCCTTGCTCTCCGCTTGCTCTGTGCCCTACCCCGCGGTGGGTGCCGCGAAAATCGCACTCTGTGTGAAAGAGGCTCAGACAGCCAAACTTCTCCCAGGAGGAAACTGATGTTTTGGTCCGGGAGGTCCAAGCTCGCAGTGTCCGAATATACGGAACTGCGAGCAGACCTCCACGGTCTGATGATGCAAACGTAGCCTGGGAGGAGGTCACCACAAACATAAATCAATGTTGGGTTTCTCTCGTGCGCGCGTGCATGCTCTCTCTTTCTCTCTCGCAGTCTCACTCTGTTTCTTTTCTTTTGACTTTACTAAGATGACAGATGCTGAATGTATACTCCCTATCTGATGCTGTGGCTGTTTGTGGTTGGCTGAGAG